GGCTTATATAAATATCTTGAAACTAGTGGCCTGGTGCATGAAATTCATGCACATTAAAAGGGAATTAGGGCAAATAGAAATATTAAAATATTTCCTCTTTTCTCTATAATAGAAATGTCAGACATAAAAGAAAATTAGTAAAATGTGTATGAAAACCTCCCTCCTGTCAGAGTATTGGACGTGCCGTGGGACCTAAAGTCAAGTCCCTACCCACCACCTGCATGTGCTTCGATAATGCAGAAGACCCAGACCCGGCCAGCCTTACCCTCATCAAGCCCCTACAGGTCAGGGGGTGCAATCTCAGGTTCCTTGTCAAACCCTACCAGATGGGGGGGGTTCAGCCTCAGGTCCCCCGGCCTGGTGCTGGAGAGGGGGTTGTGGTATGAGGTCTCCTGGCCCAACACCGGGGCAGGAGGGCACGGCCTGAGGTCCCCAGTCAAGCGCCGCTGGGGCGGGGGTGCAGCCTGAGGTCCCTTGCCCCAGCCAGGCCCATGTAGCCTCAGGTCCCTGCTGTTCAGTCGTGACATTACGGTGTCCTGGCTAATTTGCATATTCCTGTATTATTAGATTATAACTCCTTATTTTAAATTAATAGTAACTCAATTTCAATACAGTTCCTAAGCTTTATACTTTTACTTCTCCCCCTCACTTCTTGGGTTCTTGATTTACCATTCCTTGTATGTGTAACTAATAACAGATTATTGTAGTTATGGTTATTTTTTGTTTTTTTCTTTAACTTTTAAACCAAACCATTATCATTGACGGTCCCATGTTTTTATGTTAATTAGTGTCCTTTTACTTGTACTCAGTGAACTCTCTTTAGTGTTTCTGATAAGGAAGGTCTAGTGATGATGAATTTCCTCAGCTTTTGTTGTGTGGGAAAGCTTTTATCCTTCATTTCTGAAGGTCAGCTTTGCAAGATACTCTTCTTGGTTGACATTTTTTCTCTTCTTCATATGTTGAGAATGTCGTCCTGTTCTCTTTTGGCCTGAAAAGTTTCTGTTGAGATGTACACCAAAAGACTTATGGGGTTCCCTTGTATACAACTCATCTTTTCTCTGGCTGCTTTTAAAATTTTATCTTTGACATTTGATAATTATAATGTGCCAGCATAGCTTTGGATTCAACTTATTTGGGGATCTTTTGGGCCTCTTGAATTTGGATGTCTATTTCTCTCCCCACAGTTAGCAATTATTATTTTAAATATGCTTTCTCTTCATCTTCTGGAATTCCTAGGCTAATGTTTCACTCTTTTTCATTCAATTTTCTTTTTGTGCCTCTGACTGGCTAATTTAAAATGTGTCTTATCTTCCAGGTTGCTGATTCCCTGGCATGGTCTAGTCTGCTTCTGAAGCTCTCTACTGAATTTTTCTGTCTAGTTATTGTATTTTTCAGCTTTAAGATTTCTGTTTGGTTATTTTTCTTAATGGTTTTTGTTGAACTTCTCATTTTGTTCACTCATTATTTTCCCAATTTTGTTTAGTTGCCTGTTGATGTGTTCTTATAGTTCACTAAACTTTTTAGAGAGGATTATTCTGAATGATTTGTCTGACAGGTCATAGATCTCTATTTCTTTAGGGTTTTAGTGCTTTATGAATTCCTCTTAGTGGTATCATATTTACCTGACTTTTCATGATCATTGATTTATGTTGATATCTGTGTACTTGAATTAGTGGTATTTTCTTCCAGACTTTGTTGAAGAGCTCTCTGTGACAAAACAAATCTGCAAGTTGGCTCAGTTTGGGTTGTTGGATGTGTCTGCTACTAGAGGCTATTTTGGGTTGAGGTAATGGTTCAAGCTCTGAGGTCGTGTGCCACTGGCTGAGAACAGCTGCATAGGACTCCTGGCCTTTGTTCTCTGTCCAAAAGAGGCTGTAGAATCGGCTCTTTAGTTGCCTGTACTCTGTGGTCAGGATTACTACTACACTGTCAGGACTGTCTCTACTCAGCTCTAGGTGGGGCTATGAATTAGCTGTGCAAGCCTGGGTCTCATCCTGCTACTTCACCAGGGAAGGGAAGCTCACTGTTAACCAGAATCAGGTAAGAGTGTACACTAGATATCCTGGTCAGGTGAGACCACAGTTTTTATCTGCAGATAGGAAAAGCCACAAGCTATTCAAGTGCCACTGTAAGCAGCACTACTGGATGGTAGGGCAGTCTGAAGGCTGTATTCAGCAATGAGTGAGGCTATGAAAGAGCTTCTCTGCTCAGGTGCAATAGGAGAAGCAGCTTCGAGGCCACTAAGGTTCTTCATTTATGGTCTTCAGACAAACTCACCTGTGCTCCAACTTCCCTGGCTGAACACGACGACTTGTTTTGCTCTGGGGACCATCACTTTGCTTGCCTGCCTCGCAGCTTGAGCATTGCTGAGTAATATAGTTTCCAGGTAATAGAGCCCTTCCTGTCTGAATGAGCCTTGGGAGGGTTCACTTCAGGCAACTTAAATGTTCTTGAACAGACTTTTTAGTCAGGAAGGGCCAGAAGCTAGGTCTCACAGTGTTTGAGGCTATGACACTCAATTCTTTAGCCTGGGCAGACCAGGTTCCAGGACTGACAAAACTTTCGGAGAACTCAAATCAGGCAGGCCTGCACCCCACTGAGTTCCCTGGTCACACTATGCCACCAACTTGGTTCTGCACATGCACAAAGCTGCTCATTGGGGCTATTATTTTGGGGTTTGCAGGTACCAATGCAGTCTGCTAAGATCTGCATGTTTGTTGTTGGAAGCCCCTCCCCTATCACAATCAGATTCCCAGTGGTTGAGTCCTGTATATTCCCCTGCAGTCCCTGAGGGGTGAAACCAAGTAAGGGCTCCCAGAAAATGACCCACAATATTCAGGGGTTTGGATGTCACTAAAGGCTCAGGAGAGACCTCTCTGTGTGATACTGTCTGGCTTGGAGGCAGTCAGCTTTGGTCTTTGTGGTGCAGGGCATACTTGGGCCTAGCATCCCGTGTTCTAGGATTCCCTCATTGGTGTCTTGTCTGTGAATTTTTGTTGATTGGAAGTAAAATCAGGACTGACCTATGTTGCCATCTGGGTGACATCACTTTCTGCATATATTGAAGAGAGAAATCCTGAAATATATTCATTAAAAACTAGTTTACAATTACCTAATGCACATGGTTACCAATTTGGTATTGTATAATATTATAGAACCATCCTGGAGAACATGTCTTTGATCCTGCTTTAATTTCCCACTAAGTACTCACATCTCAAAATTAGGAGAGCTGGTCTTAGGCTGACAGTAGATGACTAGAATTCCCATCTGTAAAATGAGGAGTTGAGACACCTCTCCTACAATAAACTTTAGGAAGTAATATGTATACCTTTTGAAAGTAATATGTATACCTTTTGACAAAGCAGTTTTCCTTTTGGACATCTATGGCAAATGACCTGAAAAACAGAAGGGAATTTATATGTAAAGATGTCCCTTACAGAGTTTTTTTTTTTTTTTTTTTTTTTTTTTTTTTTTTTTTTTTACAATTGTGAAGCAGTCTAAATGTTTGTCAATAGGCAAGTAATACTGTATTAACTAAACATAACTTGACAACTATTATAAATATGAAATGAAGTTTATTTCAATGTAGAAAATGTCTAAGTTAAAATGTTAAAAGTAGCAAGATGCAAGTTTGTGCACATATTTGCAATTACATAGACTAGAAAACGATATATAACACTAGAGGTCTGGTGAACAAAATTTTTGCGGAAGGTAGGAGGTATGTCCCTCAGCCCAGCCTGCACCCTCTCTAATCTGGGACTCCTTGAGGGGTGTCCAACTGCTCATTTAGGCCTGATTCCAGGATAGGGCCTAAACGGGCAGTCGGACATCCCTCTCACAATCCAAGACTGCTGGCTCCCAACAGCTAGCCTGTCTGCCTTCCTGATTGCCCCTAACAGCATCTGCCTGCCAGCATGATCACCCCCTAACCACTCTCCTGCCAACCTGATTGATGCCTAACTGCCCTCCCCTGAAGGCCTGGGTCCCCCTCAACTGCCCTTCCCTGCAGTCCTGGTTGCCTCTAACTTCCCTCCTCTGCCAGCCTGGTGACCCCCATCTGCTCTCCCCACCCACAACTGCCCTCCCTCTCAGACCTGGTCCCTCCCCTGTTGGCCATTTTGTGGTGGCCATCTTGTGTCCACATGGGGGCAGTCATCTTGAGTTGGAGTGATGGTCAATTTGCATATTACTCTTTTATTAGATAAGATAGAGGCCTGGTGCACGGGTGGTGGCCAGCTAGTTTTCCCTAAAGGGTGTCCCAGATCAGGGTGGTGATTCCCTAGAGGCATGGGGTGGCCTGGGCAAGGGGCCTATTGTGGTTTGCAGGCCAGCCATGCCCCTCGGTGACCCAAGCGGAGGCCCTGGTATCTGGGACTTATTTATCTTCTAAAATTGAAATTTTGTAGGCTTGAGCAGAGGCTAAGGCAGGCCTGGGGGGGGGGGGGTGGAGGGAAGAAGGGGGGCAGAAAGCTTGGCTTCTTCCATTGCTGCAGAAACCCAAGCTTCTTGCTCACTCAGTGGCCATAGCCATTTTTGTTGGGATTTAGTTATCATCCATAATTGAAACCTTGTAGCCTTGAGTGGAGTCAACGGCCAGCCAGTGTGTGTGGGAAGCTTGGCTTCCTCCATTGCTGGGGAAACCCAAGCTTCCTGCTTGCTCCATGACCGTAACCATCTTGGTTAATTTGCATACTAATTCCTGATTGGCTAGCATGGCTTGTGGGTGAAGTGGAAGGACGGTAAATTTGCATAATACTCTTTTATTAGATAGGATAACTGTTTAAAATTGGATAGTAGTATAATTAGATAGGATAACTGTTTAAAATTGGATAGTAGTATAATTATAAAAAATTGGCAGTGTATAAATGTAAACACTGCCAACCATAAGAGGTGCACTTTTTTCTTTTTCTTTTCTTTTTTTTTTTTTTTTTTCTGGTGTGTTTTCCATCTTTGTGGAAAAAGAAAATCTGAATTTTTTTAAAAAAAATGTCTTTTTACAGGTATTCCTTTGCCCAAAGAAGATGCCATTTCTGCCCCCTTGATCTCCAGCTCACCAGTGAAAGAAGCTCGGGAGTATGAAGAACCCCCAAGCGAAGAGGAAGATAAAATAAAAGAAGAGCCTCTGACTATCTCTGAACTGTCATACAACCCCAGTGCAAGCCTGCTCCCCACCCCAGTTGATGATGATGAGATTGACATGCTCTTTGACTGTCCATCTAGGCAAGAGTTGGAAAGAGAAGACTTGGATTCATTTGAGGAACTGGAAGCAGATGAAAATGCCTTTTTGATGGCCGAAGAAGAGGAGCTAAAGGAGGCTCACCGAGCTTTGTCGTGGAGCTATGACATTCTGACCGGCCACATTCGGGTGAACCCACTGGTCAAGAGTTTTTCCAGGCTCCTTGTGGTGGGCCTGGGGCTGCTGCTCTTTGTATTCCCCCTGCTCCTCCTCCTTTTGGAGTCAGGTATTGATCTCTCCTTCTTATGTGAAATCCGCCAGACGCCAGAGTTTGAGCAGTTTCACTATGAATATTACTGTCCTCTCAAGGAGTGGGTGGCTGGCAAAGTAAACCTCATTCTCTACATGCTGGGTTGCTCATAAATACATATCTCATATGACTAAGGGCTATATTCAATATTAGTGATGTGTTTTTCTCAAGCAAATGCCTGGTTCTGAGTGGTCATGGAGCCGTCAACACGTGTTCCTTACTCAAAATTGATTATTCAGACCTTTAAGTTAGCTTTCCATAATTCATTGCACTTAATAAGTTTAAATCAAACACAGTAATTTCAGTTACAGGTCAGGAAGATGGCCTTTAAATAACCTAAAATGTTTATTTTTATTATATCACAGGCAGACTCTATCTATTATACATAATACATTGAGCTAAATTAGATTTCCCCCCTTTTTAATAGTTATCATCATTATAAGATATAAGGTTCAGGATCAGAATTTTAGTCAAAATTCAAGAGAAGGTTTTTGAATATAATCCTTAGTGAAAATAATGTCCTCTAACCAATGCCTATACAGTTAAATTAATGCTGGGTTTTTGTTTTTTTAAAAATATTTTTATGTGTTCAGAATATTTTGGTAAATTTTTAGCAAAAAAGAAAAAAAAAGAAGCCTCCTTATTGTATAGACTCTGTAAGACTAATGCACAAAGGGTATTGTGGGAATTTTTTAATGTTTTGGCCCAGGTTTGTTTTTAAAAATATTTTTGGATAAAAAAAAAATCCCATAATTTGTTGTTAGCTGCATGTGAGATAGAAAATAGGTAGAAAGACTGTAGTAAGTAGGCCCTAAAACAAATGATGGAACTGGAGGATGTAGAAACTGAGCATCAAATGGACCATAGGGTCCATTTTCAAAAGTATTTGGATGAGAGGACTTGTTACTTTCATTTGCATTCTGTCCATATATTTTGGTTAAAGAAGCAAAACTTTAAAAAGTCAAAAGATATATGCCAATTAATTGCATGTTATTGTACATTTATCCGAGAGTGGAAGCAGATGTTGGGCAAGTAGCAAAAACTGTTTTGGTGAGGCTGGTAGGCAAGTGGTGGTAGGAAGGTGATCTACCCTGTTTCCCCGAAAATAAGACAGTGTCTTATATTAATTTTTTTCTCCCAAAGTTTCACTAGGTCTTATTTTCGGAGGATGTCTTATTTTTGGGGAAACACGGTATTTTATGGAAGTGATGGTGATGCAAGGTATTGGATAATGTAAAGAACAGCACACTCGCTGTCCAAGTTGACATGAATATATTGAAGTGGAACTAAATAAAAGTGGAGAAATGTTAAGGTACAGTTTTGGTTCCTTATGCCATTCATTGTGTTTCTGTGGAAGGAATTTTAAAAGAAGTATGTGTATGTGAGAGAGGGGTGGGGAAGAGAATGGATTCTGGCTTTTTGATAAATGCCAATTATCTTTTGTGATAGTAATTATATTCCTTTCCTGGTTTCCTTAAGAACTTATTCATAATCGGGGCTCTCATTTAATGACATATTTCAGCTTTGGTGAAGTAGTGAGTCTCAGGACAAGGGACAAATGTTCTAGAACCTTCCTTCATACCATTAAATCCATGACAGAAAGGCTCTGATGCCTTCCCAGGCAGCATAATGACCAGTCCTGTGGTGTAAGTGAGAAAGGTAAGAGCAAGGAGGTTTGGGATTTCTCTATGAATTAAAAATGTTTCATTGCCTTCATTTACAAAGAGATTGGGCTTCCTGTAATCTCTCCCTAACTCCAATGGACACTTCAGTTTTATATTAGCATAATCTCCACACTGGTCATTCCAGTTTTACTTACTCATGGAGCTCTGAGTGCTTTATTAGATATTCAATTTTGAAAGTAAGTTTTAAAGTCAGCTTATGAAGCCTTCAGTTAAGCAAACTTATAATATTCATTTGCTATTAAGTTTGTTCTTTTTCATGTGCTTTCTTTTTTTTTTTTTTTAAATATATTTTATTGATTTTTCACAGAGAGGAAGAGAGGGGGATAGATAGTTAGAAACATCGATGAGAGAGAATCATCGATCAGCTGCCTCTTGCACACTCCCTACTGGGGATGTGCCCGCACTCAGGTACATGCCCTTGACCGGAATCGAACCCGGGACCTTTCAGTCCGCAGGCCGACGCTCTATCCACTGAACCAAACCGGTCCCGGCAATGTGCTTTCTTTTTGTGTTTTAATGTTTCATGCCTGAAATTGGATAAAAATATATACACGTATACTTTCTATAATTCATTTTGGAAGTTTGCAAATGATCAGCTTTGAAATTGAAGTTATTTCCTCCCCCTTTTCATATGACTTTGATCATACTTTCTATAAAAGGGCCCACTAGTGTCTCTCTCTCCCCACCACCCGCTTCTGATTATGCTTCAATTACTGACCATGCCAAATCATCTAGCCTTCGTCCTTTAAAGTAATACTTTTAAATTATGGAAGAAATATATTTCCCATCATAAAACATTTAAAAAATACTGACAGGATAAACATCACATGTAGTCCAACCATGCAGATCTATATTAACTAATAATACATTTATTATTTTTACATTTCCAGCTAATATCTTTTCTCTTAGGCAAAAACCTTGATTATTGAATAGAAATACTTCTAAGTGAAGGAGTTGACAGGATAGAGTCCTCTCAATTTTAACAATAGCCACCAAAAGTAAAAGTAGGATAGAATAAGAGCCATTTTAGGAAATACCACTTAAGTTTGGTAGACAGTCACCAGATGCCTGAATGAAATGAGAAAAAGACTGCTTCCAAGATGGAAAGTATATAGTAATATAGTGAGATACAGTGGTCAAAGCAAGTGTGTGAGTATATGTATTATTGGCATATGTGTTTATATATGAATATGTGTGTGTATACACTCAACTGATATGCCCTTTAATACACAGTTGTGTTTATTTTCCCCAAAAGAGGAATTTGTGATGTTATTATTCCTTTTCCCCTCTATTATCACAGTGGATAAAACAGTCTCATGAAAATCACTGTGTGTACATATGTAATTATACACACACACATATGGCAAATACATATACACACACAATCTTGTCTTTAGTGCTATTGCAAGTTGAATCATGAAAAGTGTAGGTAAAGTATCGTATTTCTGTCTGTGCTTGGAATATGTAAAATGTTATGTATTTGGAATTTATTTTGTGGCTTGTCTAATATTTATAAAATTAACTCTGGGAAGAATTCAAAATGAATTGATTTCATTGAAATACTAGGGATATGGGGGCCATGTTATCTATAATTGGAGCCTTATCTTTGTATAGTGAAATTTGCATTTCTATGTCAACATTCAGATTGTTTTATATGTTAATATGATGGCAGAAATCCCTAATAAATGTACTCTGGGGAAAAATGTTTCAGCAATCATTTAGTTTTATTCACAGCAAAACTATAAATAGCCTGTTGGAAACTACAGAAAGGTGCCATCTAGGACCATGAAATGAGGTCACCCTTGAATGGTGACAGTGTGAAAAAAATGACAATGGATGGGAGTAATATTTTGCAGAAGCCACCCTAAAAGCAAGAATATTGGGTGTCCTGGAAATACACCCATCTGAGAGACAGCTATGGCTCACAAAATAATTAGAGAAACAGAAAAAGTAGGAGTGTTCTGCATGACAGGTAGGAGGAAGGATTTTAGAGTGCTAGAAATTAGTGTCACCATTTCTGGCCAGAAAAGGGTGTCTTCCTGTGCTAGGAATAGCTACGCAGCAGCCTGGGCTCTGCAACACTTGCCATTCACCTTCTCCTGCCTGTTCATGGCCCTGGGAGAATTGGACTTTTCTATTCTACCCCTATCTTCTCCTCCACACAGCATGGCCCTCTGCTTCGGTTTATCACAAAGCTAAAACAGCACACCTGACAGTGAAATCGGAGGGTTTTATTCTGCATGAAGCAAAAGGGCTCTGTGCAATAGGAACACATTTGTCCAGTGGAATTGTACCCCAGCTGTGGTGGCCTCTTAAGTCTATCAAGTTCTTATCTCCCCCCCAGTTTTATTAAGATATAATTAACATATGACACTATTCGTTTTAGGTATGTATGATTATTTTGCAAAATGATTAAGTTTAGCAAATCCATTACCTAACAGTTACATTTTTTTTCTTGTGATGAGAAATTTTAATATCTAACTCTCTTAGCAACTTTCAAATATGCAATACAGCATTATCAACTGTACTCACCATACTATTTATTATACCCAGAGAACTTATTTATCTTACAATTAGAAATTTGTACCTTCTGACCCCCTTCATCCATTTCATCCATTGGAGGTGTGGGGGGTGCGAAGTCTGTCAAGTTCTAGTTCTTACTCAGCAGCCGCCAGAAGTTCAGGATCTAGAGTGGAGGCAAAAAAGGGAATCTTTGGTTAATGTTCAGGCATGAGCTGACATGGACCTATTGTCCCAGGTCTAGTACCTTTATTGAGGGTTAGTATCCGCAGACTGAAGACACACAAAATGGCCTTTGGCCATTTTTATTTTGTTGAGTGTTCCAGGCTTCCAACCAACCTTGCCTCTTGGTAGAAACCCTTTCCTCATGCTATCATTTCTTGCTCAAATAAACAGAGAAAATATTTCTTAAACACACACTCCAGCCTGGAAGGAAAGTACTGGGAGGAGCTTCCACCTGTGGGGTAACCTAGGGATGGTTATGATTGATGCATTTGAGACTCCTTGGGCCATCTTTCTCTTCTGGGTGGAGATACTGTGCTAAAAGTCCCTGCTTACTTGTCCTCCTGCTTCTCTCTCTCTCTCTTTCTCTTGGACCTGCTTTTGGGCATCCAGTCTCCATGCAGTAAACAGACCCAGCAGGACCTGCCCGTGGTGGGCCCAGTCAGGACTGCTCTCCACAATCCAGCCTCGTTTGTGATGGGGTGGGTAAGTCTGGCGAGCCTTGCCCAGTGGGCTCAGCTGTCGTCACTTCAGAGAGGATGAAGAAGCCTCACTTGGGCCTCAGATCCCAGCTGTGTTCTCCAATCCATTAATAAAACTGATTTTATTCCTCTTTTGGCCCAAGTGTATTATTTATTGGGTACTGGGGTTAGAAGGAGCAAGATTTACACTAAACACACTCAAGAATGTTCAGGATCTCTGCAACCTCCAATGTTGCTAGGAAGGAATGGAGAAGGCTGCTCCTGGCTGACCCTCAGGCATCAGGGATGTCTGCCATTGACCTCGGCATGACGTGCCTTGCAAATGGATGAGGGAACTTGGAACCTAAAATCTTAGTAAAGACCAGGGCATTGATTGGAAGCATGCATCTCTACTCTTTACCTATGGCTGATGCTTACCCCAATATCACTTTGGAAAGAGAACCAAGGCCACTTTCCTGATTGTAAAGAAAAACTCTTAGTAAAACAAAGGATAAGCTTTGTGTGAGTACCAAGTATTGAAGCAAGTCTTGTAAATTATAGCAGCTCCTCCAATTAATACGGATCAACTGAGTCTCCTCATCTACAAGAATTATGATTTTGATAATTACAAGGATTTTGAGTTTTCCAAGAAAAATACCTTTCGAGGAAGAAAACAATTAACATACTAGAGGCCTGGTGCATGAAATTTGTGCACAGGTGGGGGGGGGGTGGAGGGAAGGGGAGTCCCTCAGCCAGGCCTGCATCCTCTTGTAATCTGGGACCTTTCAGGGGATTTCCAACTGCCAGTTAAGGCTGGACCCCATAGTGATCCCTGAGGATTGGGGCCTCAACTGGCAGTCAGACATCCCTCTTGCAATCCAGAACCACTGGTTCCTAACTACTCGCCTGCCTGCTTGATTGCCCCTAACTGCTCACCTGCTTCCTTGATTGCCCCTAACTACTTCTTCCTACCTGCCTGATCTCCCCTAATCACTCAGCCTGCCTGCCTGCCTGATCTCCCCTAACTACTCTGCCTGCCTGCATGATCATCCCTAACCACTCGCTTGCCTTCCCGATTGCCCCTAACCACTTGCCTACCTGCCTGATCACCCTAACCACTTGCTACCTAACTGCATCTGCCTGCTTGCCTGATGCCCCTAACCACCTCTGCCTGCCTGCCTGCCTGATCACCCCTAACCACTTGCCTGCCTGCTTGATCGCCCCTTACTGCCTCTGCCTGCCTGCCTGATGTCCCTAACCACCTCTGTCTGCCCCATTGCCCCTAACCACTCTGCCTGCCTGACCACCCCTAACTATTCGCCCGCCCACCTGCCTGATCATTCCTTACTGCTTGCTAGGGGGTGAGGCCAGCTGGGGTGAGGGTCTGTGGTCTTTCTGGTGGTTCTGCCTTTTTGGTCACTAGACTTATATAGGATAAACCAACATTAGTTTCCACTCTGCTTGGCAGTTCTTAATTAAGCGAATAGTTCAGTGTTCTGGTTAAAGCATCACTCTCCTGTAATTTCCTTGGGAATCAGCTTCCTTCCACCCTGAATCAGCCTGAGTGTCCTGACAACCCTGAACTGCTGGTTTTGCTGCTGCAAACAATGGTGAGCAAATAAATGTACTGCTCCCTGGTCACAGGATATAACTTTTTGTACAAACCAGGACTCTTTTGAGAGTGAAAGGGGATATTTTTAATGATTATGTCACAACAACAGGGGTCAACTAGGACTGATTCAGATACTTTTCTGCCATAAGGCTTTGCCCAATTAGCTAGATGCCCTCTTTTAACAATTCCTCAAGCTTGGTCCTCTAAAATACTGACAAGGTGAAATAGGAAAGGATTATTGCTCTATAGTCACAGTTCTCCTACTTGCCATGAAGAACCAGATTAAAGTTCACCAAAATTATATCATGTGTTTTAAAGAAGTCTTTTGGCATAAAAAATTTAATGCTACATAATCAATTTATTTATAATGTTGATTTGTTTGATGTGAGGCAGGTAGAGTTAGAATGATCTCAATGTTGCTTTCACCTCCCTAGTTCTGAATTTGACTTTTCTGAACTACACACAGAACAATGACGACTTGCGTAACTGTGAGCAAACGATTCACTCTAAGGACACTCAATACCAAGTTGTTCAAAGCCAAGTTGATCATTTATTATGAGAAGTGCCAGTCAGTTTGGCACTAGTTTGCTGGATATTCCACCCCTGTTCTTCCCAGAACATAAACTGTAATGTGAACCCAACACTATCAATGAGTATAAGGAATCACAGATGGAAAGCTGCCTCTCCAGGCAGTCTGCCCCAACAGACCTATCTCAAAAAGGCTGGGAATGCATTATATTCATTTTATTCCAAATCTCCCATTTTTGCAAATTGCTTGTAGTAGAGGCTAGAAGGGGATCTTAACACCATTTCCTCATCATCCTGTGCAGAGAATTAGACTAAGTTTCCCAGGCTCATGTACTTAGATCTGACAATATTTCTGATTTGTGGCCACTGGAACTGAACATGAAGTGTCTGTATCACCTCCAAGTTCTGGACTAAGTGTGCACCTCCATTTGCAACTAGATGTCAGCACCTGTATGACTTTGAAGCTACCATTTTAGGATGTTGGAGTTACCAGCAACTTAGATACCTGAATGACTGTGTGGAGCAGTGCTTCCCCTACCTCATCCTAAACCTGTTACTTGAGCAATAAGCAATTTCCAAATCCTTTGTAGTCACCACTCCTTTCCCCCAGGAAGGAGACTACAGCTGAAAGAAGGTATAGGAACAGCTCAACACTGGAGTTTCCTGGGAGATTCCACAAGAGAATCACTGTGCAGAGGGGAGATATGCTTTCTGTGACTGAGAATGCCAGACCTTGGTAAGGACCTACCTTTAGGCTAATATATCTTATCACTTTTGCTTTCTGGGGCTCAACTGAAACATCACGTAGTTAGAATCAAAGGTAGTCCACCTGGTGGACAAATCACCCCTGGTTGAGTTTTACTGGATTCAGAAGTGATTTCATGGATGTGTGACCTGTGAATTTTATAGATTGTGTTCTCTAGCATTTGGTATAATGCTTTGCTCTCACCATCCTGAAATTCTTAATAAGTCTATATTTGAACTTATATTTTTAAAAAATATTTTTATTGATTTCAGAAAGAGGAAGGGAGAGGGAGAGATAGAAACATCAATGATCAGAGAGAATCATTGGCTGGCTGCCTCCACACGCTCCCCACTGGAGATCGATCCTTACAACTCTGGCATGTGCCCCCCAACTCGAATCAAACCTGGGACAACTCAGTCCGCAGGCTGATGCTCCATCTCCTGAGCCAAACCGGGTAGGGCTGAATTTATGTTTTTTTTTTTTTAAGTAAAGTCTGATGAAACAATGAAATGTACAGAAGATCAGTCAGGCAACAGTGGGCACCAGGAATGCTGAGCTGTTGGCCTGGATGCCAGGCACAAACACACGCACGGGTTAGTCTGAGACTCTAGGAGTCCCTGAGGGGACTCTGCACCAGAATCTGAACCTGGATTAGTGAAGGCAGCTGCAGCAGAAGCCAGCCCTGGGAGAAAGGATCTATTCCACATAGGGATAGCACTAAAACCTGTTGTGGGAGGCAAGCTTGCCCATCAGTCCCTGGAGCACATCCTGAAGCATCTGCACAGATGTTAACTCTCTAGCCTGAGCACCGGTACCAGATCTGCCACCACTTAGTAAACACTGTCAGTAAGTGTACACATGGGCATTACAATAAACTATCAAGAGTTATTAGAATTCTTCAAAGAGTTTAGAATCTCTGATTTTAAAAAGCACTGCAACATTGAAAAACATATCACAGACTTAGAAATAGAAATTACATTTTTTTTTAATTTTATTGATTTTGTACAGAGAGGAAGGGAAAGAGATAGAGAGTTAGAAACATCAATGAGAAAGAGTCATCGATCAGCTGTCTCCTGCACACCTCCTACTGGGGATATGCCCGCAACCAAGGTACATGCCCTTGACTGGAATCAAACCCGGGACCTTTCAGTCCCCAAACCGACACTCTATCCATTAAGCCAAACTGGTTTGGGAAGAAATTACATTTAAAGATCCTTGCATTTCATAGAAATAAACCCCACTATTTTCACATTAAAACTTGCATGGACCAATTATTAGCATATATACAAATGTAAAATTACCTTTCCTTGTGAGTGAAGATAGAGTACAGTTGTATCCATGAGGGATTGGTTCCAGGCCCCCTCACAGATACCAAAACTTGTGGATGTTCAAGTTCCTTAGATAAAGTGGCATAGTGTTTGCATGTAACCTATGTACATCCTTCTGACTATTTTAATATCTAAATTGCTTATAATACCCCATAAAATGTAAATGCTACTGAACAGTTGTTCTACTGATTGTTTATAGAATAGTGATAAGGAAAAAAGTCTGTGTCTGTTCAATAAAGGTATAACCACCATAGGCCTGACTATACAGTACACACCAACAATTTAACATTTTTAGAATGTTTTTGATCCATGGTTGGTTAAGTCCATAGATGCAAAACCCATGGATATGGAGGGTTGACTATATTAGAATTCAGAAATAGGCATTCTAAATTATATACAAACTAAAGGCCCAATGCACAAAATTTGTGCAAGAGTAGGCCTTCTTTCCTCTGGCTGCTAGCACAGGCTTCTCTCTGCACCTGGGACCTGGCTTCCCTTGTAGCCTCAGCTTCGTCTGGAGGGTTGTCTGGAAGGACATCTGATCTAATTAGCATCTTACATTTTTATTATTATAGATAATGAAACAACTTTTAAAATCTCTGCAAGTTACAGGAAATGTCAGAGGAAACGTTAAAATGCCATTATATGTATTTATTAACATTTAAATCTACATTCAGACTTATAAAAAAACTGATTTGCAAAAAAGAGTTAAATCTTTTTATTTTATTTAAAA